CATGTAATATAGCCTACACCTTCACAATAAATCCATTATTTATTTTAGACAGGTCTAAAGAAGCATGATATGAAGAAAATGTAGTCTATTTCAGAAGAACAGAACAGCATACTCTGAGTTGTCCTTATTTTAGGTCCTGATGTGGCTATGCCAAATGGCTGTGGGCTACACTTGTTCATTTAGCAGACAAGATTTGCTTAGAATTCCGTGGCATTATTTTATATTATGTAATAGTATGAAGAATACAATTGAAGAAAGCTGAATAAAATAGAAAGGATATTTTCTCCAAACGTGTCACGCCCTGGCCGTGAGAGGCCTGTTGTCTTTAGTTGGTTTGGTCTATATTGTAATTTCTATGTTTTAGTTCTAAGTTGTGTGTCTATGTTTGGCCGGGTGTGATTCCCAATCAGAGACAGCTGTCGCTCGTTGTCTCTGATTGGGGATCATACTTAAGTAGCCTGTTTGCCTGCCTTAGTTGTGGGATCTTGTTCCGTGTTAGGCTTGTATGTGTATAGCCTGAGGACTTCACGTTACGTTGTTTCTTGTTTTGTTTATGTTTATTGAGTTTAATAAACATGTACGCTTTTCACGCTGCACCTTGGTCTGACCTGTCTCTCAACGCTCGTGACAGAAGATCCCACCACAAAAGGACCAAGCAGCGTGGCCAGGAGGAGCAAACACCCGGAGGCCACGTTGGTAGATGTCCTCCTCGGTTGGGGGAAGATCACCGAGGAGGAGGCTGTCTGTTACGGTAGGGCAATGAAGGAGGAAGCCCGGGTAGGAGAGGATCAACGGCGACATCGACGGTGCCGGTCGAAGAGGAAGCCCGAGAAGCAACCCCAAGAAAAGAAAAAATTGGGGGCTCACGGGGTGGACCACCACGTTACGGGGGCTGTTAGATCAGAGGGAGCAGGAGGTATCCATTCAGAAGGAGGTGCTACAGGAGGCTCAAAGGGAGAAGGAAGTAGTGGAGGCAAGGAGAGAGGAGCTGGTCAGGCAACAGAAGGAGCGTGTGTTCATAGAGGAACCTAAGTATGCAGAGATACGCACTGTGTCGCCAGTGCGCATGCACAGCCCAGTGTGTCCTGTGCCAGCGCCCCGCACGTGTCGTGCGAGAGCGGGCATCCAGCCAGGACGGGTTGTGCCGGCTCAACGCTCCTGGTCTCCAGTGCGCCTTCACGGTCCAGTATATCCTGCGCCAGTCCCACGCACTGTGTCGCCAGTGCGCGTTCACAGCCCAGTGCGTCCTGTGCCAGCGCTCCGCACGTGTCGTGCGAGAGTGGGCATCCAGCCAGGACGGGTTGTGCCAGCTGTACACTCCAGACCTCCAGTACGCCTCCACGGTCCAGTATATCCAGTGCGCCTTACCAGCCCGGTAAGCCCCGTACCTGCTCGTACCTGCTCCCCGCACCAAACCAGTGGTGCGTGTATCCAGTCCGGCACGGCCCGTGCCTGCTCCTCGCACCAAACCATTGGTGCGTGTTTCCAGTCCGGTACGGCCCATACCTGCTCCCCGCACCAAACCAGCGGTGCGTGTCGCTAGCCCGGTACGCCCCGTACCTGCTCCCCGCACCAAACCAGTGGTGCGTGTCGCCAGCCCGGTACGCCCCGTCCCTGCTCCTCGCACCAGACCTGGGGTGCGTGTCCCCAGTCCGGCCCAGCCCATCCTGCTCCTCGCACCAGACCTGTGGTGCGTGTCTCCAGTCCGGCCCGGCCCGTTCCTGCTCCAGAGATGGGGATGGATACGGGTCCGGATGTTTGCTCCACTCCGGAGCCAGAGCAATCTGCTCCACCGGTGCCTGATCCAGCTCCGGTCGGTTGCTCCACTCCGGAGCCAGAGCAATCCGCTCCACCGGTGCCTGATCCAGCTCCGGTCGGTTGCTCCACTCCGGAGTCAGAGCAGTCCGCTCCACCGGGGTCCAGTTCAACTCCGGTCAGCGTCTCCACTCCGGAGCTAGAGAATTCTGCTCCACCGGTGCCCAGTTCAGCTCCGGTCAGCGGCTCCACTCCGGAGCCAGAGCTGTCCGCACTACCGGTGCCCAGTTCAGCTCCGGTCAGAGGTTCCATTCCGGAACCAGAGCAGTCCGCTCCACCGAGGTCCAGCTCAGCTCCGGTCAGCGGCTCCACTCCAGACCCAGATGTCAGCCCCTCTCCAGGTTCAGGGTCTCCCACACCAGGGTCCAGACAGGGCTTGGTGCATCGTGGGGGGATTGCCGATCCAGGCCCAGACGTCAGCTCCAGGTTCGGGGTCTCCCACACCAGGGTCCAGACAGGGCTTGGTGCATCGCGGGAGGATTGCCGATCCAGGCCCAGACGTCAGCCCCTCTCCAGGTTCGGGGTCTCCCACACCAGGGTCCAGAGAGGGCTTGGTGCATCGCGGGAGGATTGCCGATCCAGGCCCAGACGTCAGCCCCTCTCCAGGTTCGGGGTCTCCCACACCAGGATCCAGACAGGGCTTGGGGCATCGTGGGAGGAAGGAGAGGGGAAGCATCGCGTCGAGGTCCAGAGCAGACCAAGGGCGCAACGGGGAGGCAGAGAGGAAGAGGTCGTCACGCCCGGAGCCGGATCCGCCTCCGAGGCTGAAAGCCCACCCGGATCCGCCCTGGCCGCCCTGGCCGTGAGAGGCCTGTTGTCTTTAGTTGGTTTGGTCAGGGCGTGAGTTTCTATGTTGTAATTTATATGTTTCGCCGGGTGTGATTCCCAATCAGAGACAGCTGTTGCTCGTTGTTTCTGATTGGGGATCATACTTAAGTAGCATGTTTGCCTACCTCAGTTGTGGGATCTTGTTCCGTGTTAGGCTTGTATGTGTATAGCCTGAGGACTTCACGTTACGTTGTTTCTTGTTTTGTTTATGTTTATTGAGTTCAATAAACATGTACGCTTTTCACGCTGCACCTTGGTCTGACCCGTCTCTCAACGCTCGTGACAAAATGATTTGAAGTGCGCACATGCGGCTATTCTGTGTTGAGCGGTTAACAAAGAAATAGGTACTCCTATATGCTTAATTTAGAGTTATTAATGTAACTTTAGTTGTTCTACAAATGTTGGGCTATATGTTTTGAATTTTAATACATTATAAGGCTGCATGATTCGACTCTAATGGTGATTTGAAAAAAGTTGCTTGAAAGGCACGAGCTCTGCTTTGTTTTTTTGCGCAGGCTGTCCATCTCTCATTGACAATTTGACAAGCACTTGATAATGCCTCGAATTTCATGGTGCCATCCCCTTTGTGTGGCCGTAATGCACCCTAAAAAAATCCATGCCTTTTGCGGCCAGTGGCCGTTGTACCCTTGGCCCAGAGTGCTGCGTTGTGCCCTTCTCCCTGGGTGCTGCTCACTCCAAAGCACCTCTCACTCACATGGCTCTCCATCACGTGATCGGGACTTTCTCACAGGCTACAAGTGAAGACAGACACATCGGGGACGCAAGTGCGCTCGTCCTTTTCCAATTCCGAGGTGCATATTACTTTTCGTCAGCCAACAAGATGAGTAGGCCTAATGAACAGCAAAAGCACTAGCCTATGTCAATCTACTATCCCCCATAGTACGAAAGTCGACCTATTCTATTCTGTGCGAGAAATAAATATTCCAAACATAGTGTGGGACAGTTGTGTGATGCGATAGATCCCAAATGAATACAACCACTAGCATAAAAAAGCATTTGTTATGCAATCTGGCTGATGCAACAGATCAGAACATTTAGCTTAAAATGTTGATAAACTATTAGGCTATTTCTTCACATTATAAGCGCAGCAATGTGCCCATGGCAGTAGGCTATAAGCGCGAAAGTTCCATTAGCGGGAAAACACCATTCTCAAAGTCACTGCAACGCTTTTATTATAAAGGTGCATTTTTATGGTGAAGGTTATCTTCCCCAAAAATGAAACTCATGCGCTGCTTATCTATGCCAGTTAGGCTCTACACCCCTTGTAAAGCGGATTAATGTGCTTAATTTTAAGAAGTTATTTGGCCACTTTAGTTGTGATACAAACCTTATCAAAACATATAGGACTATGGGCTAGGCTACATGAGGTGTGCGACTATGATTAGAAAACGTCGCAAAAAAAAGGCATTGTTTCTTATGCTGGGCATCATTCACAAGTGATAATATATAATTCACAAGTGATAGGCTAATATTGTCACCCATCAGACTATTCTTGATTTAATCTTGTCTTTACATATACTAAATAATATATGTGTGAAATTTGTTTTGATTTAGAATGGACCATTATCATGCACTTGTCTCGAAACAGGGGCAGCGGGAAAAAATACATGTAATCTATGCACTTAAATAGTGAATGGAGGACACTTTTCCCGTGGTTCATTTTCATGCCAGCCAGGTAGGCTATACTCCTGTTGTAAAGAGAAGCAATGTGCTTAATATTAGGAAAGTTGAGAAATAAATATAGTAGGCCCAGCCTATAGAAAGCTGATAGGATCCTCCTCTTTTTAATAGAGGCCATCAAAACTCTGTTTTCTCATGCAATTGCATAGCCTATAGAAATGTTGTGCAACATGAGCTCTCAATAAGTGTTTGATTCGATTTTCGATAACATTTGCATTGATGTCAGAGTGATTAGAGGGACAATAGAGTGCTGAGTACCAGGCAGTTAGCAAGTTTGGTAGGCTACTAATGACCACACCCGTCGCTATGGGCGGGCCATAGGGGGCCGGGCCCGCCCCCAAAAATGCTTGTGCCCCCCCCACTTGAGGGAATTTATTATTAAATATACGTACTGTAGGCTAATAATAATTGTACCCTGCCCTCCCATGCATTTCATATGCCCCCCTTAAGACTGAGGTCTGGCGACGGGTCTGCTAATGACCATCAGCAGCATCAGAGTTTGGAGAAGCCTAATTACCATGACTAAACGGTCACATGGAATTTGACTGCCTTCATGACTCGTGACCGCCGGTGTGGTGTTAATACGGTCATCGCAACAGCCCTAGTTGCGGTCAATTCCATTTCAATTCAATAAATTGACTGAATTGAAATGGAATTTACCCTAACCCTGACTTGCACCATCTCAGCCACAGAGACAGAGAGTGGAATGGAGGGAAAGATGTAGGGAGGCTTCTAATCGTCGTCCTCACTGATGCTATCTGCTCCACTGAGGGAGGAGAGGTCTTGGTGAAGAAGGGCAGACAGAAGGAGGGCGGCGGAGAGGGCGAGCACTCTCTGGTCGGGCAGCTGTTGGGGCTCTGCCTGGGGCTTATGGCCTGCAGCATCCGCCCCTTCCCCTCCTTTAGCATGTGCTTCTATAGAGGGAGAAGTGAAGAAATGAGAGAGACAGAGAAAGAGATCGAAAGACAGATCCTGCGTCCCAATATGGGCTACACAAGGGTGTTTACATCATATTTCTTATACCAGTCATTTCTTTTCAAATACATGAAGAAAAGTGAACACGTGCACACATCGGGAAAAAGGATAGTGTCAATATTGTCACCGTTCTGAAACAACAACCCATAGCAACTCACAGAGGCGCTTCACTGATCTAGCTCGATGCAGGACAGTGGCTGGATCTGATTGGTGTTGGACAAAACAAAGCAATTAGCCTAACCTACTTTCATGGGTAGAATGGGGCCCCTAGCTGCTCATAAAATGGGAGCCATGAGATTTTGCTGACCAGGAAACACATGGGGCCCTAGTAACACCCTAGAACTGTGGCCCCTGTTTTTTTCTAGTCACAGGGTCAGGAAAAACTCCCGGGTCATGACCCACACCCTCCCATTCTCAATGGCTCTGTCCCAAATGGCACCATATTCCCTACACAATATCAAAATATCAAACTTACAGACTTTGACTGATAAGGAAGAGGGGGGCATGGTGATTAAGATCACTTTATTCATCCAATTGTACACAAGGTCCAACGGATTTGACTTCCACTTTATCCCAACCCCTCCAAAAGACACACATACAGGTTGGAGAGGTTGGACCAGGGGGCTGCCATACTACCGTGGCCGTGGAGCAGTTGTTGTGGAGGGTTAAGTGCCTTGTTCAAGGGCACAACGCCAGTCAGTTATGGATCGCCATTTGGCTCTTTGGGACAGTGCTGGTCATAAACAAATCTAGCTAGCTGATGGATGCAAACAATGTTCTGTTTAAACTACTAGCACACAGCTCGGCACCCATGCATACCCCACAAGACATGCCACCAAAGGTCTCTTCACAATCCCCAAGTCAAGAACAGACTATGGGAGGCGCACAGTACTACATAGAGCCATGGCTACATAGAACTCTATTCAACATCAGGTAACTGATGCAAGCAGTAGAATCAGATTTAAAAAACAGATAATTATACACCTTATGGAACAGCGGGGACTGTGAAGAGACACACACACAGGCACAGACACACATACACATAAGACACGCACTCAACACACACGTACACATGGATTTTGTTTTGTAGATACAGTATGTGATAGTAGAGTAGTGGTCTGAGAGAACACACTTAATGTGTTGTGAAAAGTGTTATGAAGAGCTAGCTGATGGATGCAAACAATGTTCTTCACCAAAAACATAGCAAAACGACAATCTGTTTCAGTAGCTATAGTTAGCTAGTTAACTATCTAGCTAGATGTCATAATCTAAAATACCCCTAATTTATAAGACAGTTCTTATTTGATTAATAATGGTCGGACCCACCTATGTGAAGCTAGACACAATAAGGATTAGCCACAATAGTGGAATTTGTGGTTCGCCTTCAAAATAAAAAAGTATCTAATAGAAAGTGATGCAAATTAATACAAATAGTGCCATAATGGAATAGATCATGCTAAACGAGTTTGGAATGTTGTTATATAAATTCAACAAAATAAAATAATTTGTTAATTTGACAAAAATCTGTTGAAATCACACTGTGGATGTATTAGGACTTTAGAATTGCATTGGGGGCATACTTACGTCTGAAAGTCCTGCCAAGAAGCAACCCATAACCAAACACCTTGGCACTTTCTCTAAACATGCAAGGATTTGATAGGTATAAGCAATATGGCAGTTGTTCCACCTAGCCTTCTGATAGGTTCCTAGTTCCTAGGGGCTGGGGGTTGTTTCTGGACTGGTCTTAAGTCTTGCCAGTGCAGCCCTTACTAAATGTTGCAACTATGCCCACCTGCCGCCTTGATGTGCTTGTAAACATCGTCACTTCCTGCAGAAGAATATGGGTAATCGTCGTGCGCGACAAAGTAAATCTGTCAAATGGAAGACGAACAAAATGTTTGCAGAACTGATGACACAGAGTGACCGATGGCCAACACACATCCTGGAAAGCTACAGTACATAAAGAAAGTATTCACACCCTTTGACTTTTTCCACATTTTGTTGTGTTACAGCCTGAATTTAAAATTGATTAAATGGAGATGTGTCACTGGCCTAAACACAATACCCCATATTGTAATAGTGGAATTACGTTTTTAGAAATGTTTACAAATTAATTAAAAATGAAAAGCTGAAATGTGTTGAGTCAATAAGTATTCAACCCCTTTTATGGCAAGTCTAAATAAGTTCAGGAGTAAAAAAAATTAGCTTAACAAGTCACATAATAAATTACAGGGATTTCACCAGGAGGCCAATGGTGACTTTAAAACAGTTACAGAGTTTAATGGCTGTGATAGGAGAAAACTGAGGATGGATCAACAACATTGTAGTTGCTCCACAATACTAACCTAAATGACAGACTTCAAAAGATAGACAATAAAATATTCCTGTTTGCAGTAAGGCACTAAAGTAAAACTGGCAAAGAAATTAACTTTATGTCCTGAATACAAAGCATTATGTTTGGGGCAAATCCAACACAACACATCACTGAGTACCACTCTTCATATTCTCAAGTATGGTGGTGGCTGCATCATGTTATGGGAATGCTTGTCATAAAAAGAAACAGAATAGAGCTAAGCACAGGCTAAATCCTAGAGGAAAACCTTGTTCATTCTGCTTCCAACAGACACTGGGAGACTAATTCAACTTTCAGCAGGACAATAACCAAAACACAAGGCCAAATATACACTGGTGTTGCTTATCAAAATTACATTGAATGTTCCTGAGTGGCTTAGTTACAGTTTGGACTTAAATCGGCTTGAAAATCTATGGCAAGACTTGAAAATGGCTGTCTAGCAACGATCAACAACCAATAATGTGCAAATACTGTACAATCCAGGTGTGCAAAGCTCTTACAGACTTACCCAGAAAGACAGCTGTAATCGCTGCCAAAGTTGATTCTAACATGCATTGACTCAGGGGTGTGAATACGTATGTAAATGAGATAGACTTTTCTATATATTTGCAAAAATGTCTAAAAACATGTTTTCACTTTGTCAACATGTGGTATTGTGTGTAAATGGGTGAGAACATTTTTAAAAAATCAATTTCGAATTCATTCTGTAACACAACAAAATGTTGAATAAGTCAAGCGGTATGTATACTTTAGCTGAATTGTTTAGCTGAATCAGGTGTGTTCGAGTACGGCTGTAGCAAAAGCCTGCATACCCAATAGTTATCCAGAAGTAGCTTTAGCCATTCCGAACACAGAGCGCAAAAATCTTGTGAAAAGTTATATTCTCCGGTGCAGACTGAGTGCAAGCTAGTCATGTCCCCCATCATTTTCCTCACTCACCCTGTGGTCAGCAAGGAACTTCTGCGTGAGCGTCCACGGTGCGTTCCGTACAATCTCGTCAACGTAGCGACAATGACTGAAGGTGTCGTAGCGTTCGTCCTCATTCATGATGGTGAAGCCCTTTAAATTGTGTGTCAGATCGTCACTGCATACTGAGGAAAGGGAGGTAACGGGACCACTGGTTATATAGTCCATGAGCCAGACCCCCAAATTTGGCCATTGTGATTTTGTTGAAGGTCTGTGTCCCTAGAATTGGAAAATGTATGATGGCATTGCACCAATGGTAGGTTTCTGTGTGCTATCACTCTTTCCCATTTATTTTTTCAATGGCACACATACACAATCCATGTCTCAATTGTCTCAAGGCTTAAACATCTTTAACCTGTCCCCTCCCCTTCATCTACTCTGATTGAAGTGGATTTGACAAGTGACATCAATAAGGGATCATAGCTTTCACCTGGATTCACCTTGTCAGTCTATGTCATGGATGTTTTGTACACTCAGTGTATATCTGGCACACCTGGCTCATGTGGTTGTATATTCTACATTACTATGAAAAATGTTGGGCATATACTACAATTATATTTCATAAAGGTACGGTCATGCGAAACTTTCCAATAAGACCCCATTGAGTTGTTTGGCGGCCATATTGGAAAAAAGCTTCTGTGGGGTTAATGAGGGAATTCTGTGATGGCCCTGTATCTACAAATCTTTTTAAAACCCTGTTCTAGCTGTGTGTGCGCAATTTGGTGCCTCTATCACCAAAGTTACAATCCAAAACATAGCTGCCCCATTACATGGAATTCTATGACTAAGCTTCCAACATTCTAATGTATGGGATTTTAAAACAATAGTTGTAGCTTTGCTTTCAAAGTTGGTTATATTATATATAATTTGAAACATAATTTCATGACCTTTTAGAAACATAGAAACATAGCTTAAAATGTATCAGGGTTTACTTTTTAAAGCCATTTATACAGGTAATTCTGATATATCCACTAAAGGTCAAAGTTCTGTTGACCCGAACATTCCGAAAATTATTATGAATAGCTGTGAATCTAAGCTTTCCAATGATATATGATTAAAGGGTATACATGAGCATTAATTTGTTGTATACTGACGTTGTTTATCATAGGGTGCTAATCTCTATGGGCAAAATGAATGGGATGGAGGGATGAAAGAGTAATAACACAGAGAAAGATACCAATGCTGCACTGCTATCACTCATTTTCCAACTCTAGGGACTAAAATCTCTATTCGCACGGGACTAGTATTACTATGGAACGTCGGTTATGGAATTATTACCCCAGCATGTCCGTTTTTCCAGTGGACGATTCGGAGGGGATTAGATTTACCAAACTGCTCCCGTAATTCTTTTTTTTCCTCATTCAAAATTGACAGTTATGACGGAAGCCTGGAGGCTCTTCTAGGCGTGAAGATATTTCAAACGTCTAGGGAAAGCCTAATATTGGCCTAATGGCCTTCAGTACGGTAAAAGTCAAAATAATAATGCATATCAAGAAGAACCATGAACAGTAACCTATGCAGACATTTAATTACCTGACGTATTTGGCAATTTATCAATTCATTAGCACAATATCGTCCACTTCATCTTTTAAAAGAGAAGTATGGCACTAAGAAAGTAGGCTACGTGCATAGCACTTTGTTTGAAGCATCAATTTGTTCCCGTGTTCTTATCCAAACTGGGTGCAGCACCTGTTAAACTCTGTAATATCCCTCAAAACACAGAGATGACGATTCGCACGGGATAAGTATTATCAGAGGACCTATGAGGTTGCCGAAAAATAGTAGGTTTTCATGGCTGGGATAATAAACCTTCCTGCCGAGTAAAAACTACTGACATGGCAGATTCGGAAGGGACAAAATTTACAGATGTGGTCATTTGTGCCTGTGCACATAATTACATTACCTGAGCTCCCCCAGTAAAATGTATCCCATCCAAACATTTTTGAGTGCATACATTTTCGTACTTCCCCCGTACTTATCCCCCATGGGAATCAAACCCACAACCCTGGTGTTGCAAGCACCATACTCTACCAACTGAGCCACACAGGACCAGTTGTTTATAGTTGTTTGTTAATGTTCCTCTTTCATACAACATTACACATTTGAAGTGCATGAACCGATACAATGTTATTCGGCATGCAGCCCCTCAAGAAAATAACATGTCAAACACTAACAAGGATACACCTTTTTCATTTGTTTTAGAGGTTTGTTTAGGCAGAAATAGTAGATGTCATTGTCTTAGCCACACATAGTGCAAATCTTCTGATTCAAAAGACCTTCATTTCCTTTCGTTGACTGAAAAAATGACTGGAAATACAGAAAAGGTGTCACATAATATATTCATTATAATATAAAGGGTATAAGACACCAGATACTGGCCGTGTACAACCAAGAAGAGCTAAGAGTTTAGTTCTAGAATGAAGTCACTGTGGTCTTGTGTTCTGGAATTTATGCCACAGGAGAATATCAGACATTCACACCATTTGGTTTTGGCACATCAATCAACACATACAGCAGTCATCACTGTACAAATACCCATGTAGTTCCCTGAAACAACATCTCCAATCTTTTCTTTTCAGTTATGTAAGGCAATGATGACAAGGGTGTGTTACCCCGTTTGGCAATGCCAAAGAGGGGAAAAGAGAAATAGGAAAAAAGGAATGGACAGATGGTAGTTGATCATCTTCAGTCTTGTGAGGGACCATGAAACCACTTGATGTGTAGAGGAATGCTGGAAACAGGTGATGGCGGTAGGGCTCCTGATATTACATTCCCATTCGAATGCTCTGAATGATCTGGAAGATTGCTGAAAAATATCAGAGAACACTATTAAGCATTTGATAAGTTTGAGAGAGAGAGAGATTAAATAGGGCCCTCAATCACATTACAAAAACAGATAGTTCAGAGGTAGACTGGCTCTGGCCGCTTGTTCACGTTCAGACCTAGCCCTTGATCATGACTCTCAGTTCCATTACATTACAAATAAGAGTCATTGGATGAAGGCCTCTTCTGTATTGGGAAGTTTTGTTAAGAGCCCAGATGCTCAGTCTGAACATTAACACGAATCGCTTGCGGTACGGTTTTGGAAGCATAAGGACCTTATCTTTCATATCAGCGAGAAAAACAAAACGTTCAATAGATACACACCTTTTATACGGTTAGTATTCCCACAAAGCCATATCGCCATGTTTCATGTTTACGGAAGACAGAGGGACCACCTGTGCTAATTAGTTATCTATAGCATGCTCCGAACACCTGTGTGTAAAAGAAGGCGGCTGCCAGAAACGTGTTGTCACTGAAAAATACTGTTGACTGCAACTGTGATAAAGGCAGTTAAAACAGTGTACAGTATGTGTGTATTTTGCATTTGTAAAATTATTTAGATGTGATATGAAAGTAAATGGCTTTATGTTTCTAGAACTGTATCACAATTGAGAATCGATTGAAGTTTAGAGTATTTGGCTGTTTTGGCTTCCAGAGCCAGTCTACCTCTGAAAATAACACAAGGTCATTGGACCTTAAGGAGTAACAGTAACATTAGGCTTCTTAAGAGTGCATATTGGGCTAGTTCAGACCAAGGATGGGGCTCTTAACTAAAGTCCCCCGGGAAGAAGATACCTTCATCAAAAGGCGCTAAAAGGTAGTTATAGCGTCTATGAATGGGGTACTCCTAACCTGAATCACGTAATATTAGCCTCTGTAAAACAATTGGTTTATCATGAGACATAGGCCTAGATTCATTTTCAATAGGTTCTAAAACATGGGGGAATAAACCAATAATGTATAACATGTGTTTGTATACATCATTGGAAAAATACATTCGTGTACACTGTACATATGCATTTACCTGATCCGCAGACGACAAAGATGAATAATGCCAGAAGCCATGGTCCCACTGCCACCTTGTCGTCACCTGGATTTCTCTACAGAAACCAACATCAAGATACATCAAAACGTTAAAGGAAACTTTTAGATATTTTGAAACCATTCAAACAAGTAGCTAGGCTATTATTTTCAAACAAAATAGAAATGTATCTAGTAACGTAGTCTTCACTGACTATTGATTGATTGTATCCCAAAACTTACCGTGGATTTGGCCACGTTGCCTCTCAGCGTGATGTTTTTGCTGTGTTTCTCGTTGGCCATGCGTATTCTCTGTTTTGCCACCATTGTTTAAGCTTATTGTAGCCTTTTAGCTATTGATTATTTATGAAGTTGTAGCTGTCAAATGTAGACAGTCGGCTAATTTTCAGAGCTCGGTCGCCGTTTAGTGATGAGCGCGTAGTGGAGCTCGTTTTGCATGGCCCGGTGCCCTGGCGTAATAGACTTTGCGCATTTTACATTGGTCCTTCAGTAAAATCTCTATTCAGCGGGGAACCGGGCCATGCATAACGAACTCCACCATTGGCAGGGGTGTCTCGAATTTGTCTACGTACACACAAAGTAGACCACTCCCACACAGGAAGGGCTATTCCGTGGTCGTGTCATTCCACAAATGTTTTTTCTTTTCTTAGAAAGAATACAAAATGGCTAAAAGCGTTTCATTTTTTTTTTTTTTAAATAGCTCAGCATGTATTTGTTTATAAACAACATTCAACCTAGGAGTGAATTTATAATGGACATAAAATGTGATTAGACACACATATTTATGACGATGTTGCCAATGTTCCAATGACACTCCCCTTTTTTCTTGAGACTTCCGCATTTCTTTTGCAGATTATTCTATTTCCGGTACATCATGGCGCCCCCCACACCTCATTTAGCAGGTGGGTTAATTCATTGAAGAGTAAACTCTTTATTTGTTTACGTGTTGTTTTAGATGTTAACCTGGGTTGTAGAATATACGCAACGGCCCATCTTAACTGTCACGTGAGTTGGAATGTTGAATAATTTCCTTACTTTCAATTCGACTGTGACCTGCTGTTGACAGAGTAATGTTACAAGCTAGCCAAACGCTTTCTAAACATTTTGGCAGATGCTGTAGCATGCAAGCCCAATTCCGTTCCAATCAGATTGACCTCATGCTGATGATAATGTAGCTAATTCTTTAATCTTACATAGGTATTACATAATTGATTTTATACTAACTGCTGCTGTTATTGTGATCACACAGTCCGGGGATCTGACGGGACAGTGCTGCTCCGTGGACCACCAAACTGCGAAAAGAATGCAGATTTTCAAAGGTCATTCCCGTTCTATCAGACATAACAATGTTAAATTGTTAGCCAAATCAATCACTGTGCATGTGTTGCAAATTCCATTTTATTTACTAAACCTTTCAATTTCAGGGACCCTCTGCAAAGTAAATATGTGGCTTTCAGCAAGGACGGGACATTGTTTGCATGGTGCAATGGAGAGAAGTAAGAAAAGCTACATCGTGGCACTATGTCTGCGTCCAAAATTGCACCCGATTCCCTATATTGTACACCACTTTTGACCCGAGCCCTATGTATCAGTTTGCAGAAGTAGTATATAACCCTTGCAATGCTGTAGTGTGAATGACATTAGTCCTGTAGACTACCTCTTCAGTCATTGGAATCTTTTGCATACATTGAGACTGGTCCGATCACAGTAGTTGTCATGCCCATGTTTTGTTTGTCAGGGTCACTGTTGTGAAGGTTGCAGATGGCTCTCAAGTCAGGTTGTTTGACCTTCCAAAGACTACAATGTTGGAGTTCTCTCCACTGAACACTGTGCTGGCTACATGGCAGGTGTATAGCAGTAAGTTTCAACAACTATAAAAACAAGGTTTTAGTAGATGATGGAAATCACTGACTCTTGAAATTGTACTCCTTAGCATTTTTCAGTAATCTATTAATGGCTAAAGGGCTCTACACACTACGCAAACTGAGTGATGGAGCATCACTTTCTACGTAGTTCTATGTACCTTTGTTTCACTGAGTTTTTTTGAAGCAACATTTTTTTAACGGACTGAATACGTCACTCTGTTTGCGTAGTGTGTTAGAGCCCTCAAGCAGGCACACAAGTAGGTAGTCGAAATGTATTCTGTTTGAAACTAGATATAAATTGAATGTCATGTCCAGTCAAATCATATCACATTTTATTTGCCACATGCGCCGAATACAACAGGTGTAGACATTACAGTGAAATGCTTACTTACAAACCCTTAACCAACAATGCAGTTTTAAGAAAAAGAAGTGTTAAGTAAAAAAATAGATAAGTAAAAAGAAGAAAAATAATAGATAAACATTATGTACAAAATAAGTTACAAATAACACGAAAAAACACACACAATAGCACAATTGGTTAGGAGCTGTAAAACGGCAGCCATCTTCTCCGGCGCCATTATGAATGCATTGCAAAATATGGTTTGTGGTTGTTTGTGCTGCACTAGCACTCATCTTTACAATAGGTAATGTAATGATATTTTCCCTTTCTCTTGTCAGAGACACAAGACAACCCACAGGGAGATGCCAACTTGCAGCTGTGGGATTTGCAAACTGGGACCTGCCTCAAGGCTCTCTACCAGAAGAAGGTACAGGGATGGTAAGTTTGCACCGTTGTCTATTATTGTGTGTTTGTCCATCTGTGAGGAAATGCTGAGGATTAGCCAGCAGCATAACACCCTGCATCCCACTACTGGCTTTCCTCTGAAGCTAAGCAGGGTCGGTCTTGGTCGGTCCCTGGATGGGAAACCAGATGCTGCAGGAAGTGGTGTTGGTCCAATAGGGGGCAGTTTTCCCTCTGGTCTAAGGAGATCCTAATGCCCCGGGGCAGTGAAGGCGACATTACCCTGCGTAAGTTGCCGTCTTTCGGATGGGACATTAAAACGGGTGTCCTGACTCTCTGTGGTCACTAAAGATCCCATGGCACTTATCTTAAAAGTAGGGGTGTTAAATTCCCATCCTGGCCCCTTTCAATCATCCCCAGCTTCCAATTAGCTCGTTCATCCCCTTTCCTTCCCCCTGTAACTCTTCCCCAGGTCGTTGCTGTAAAAGAGAATATGTACTCAGTCAACTTACCTCGTAAAATAAGGGTAAATAAATAAATGAGTATGTGTTGCCCATTAATGATGCACAGATTGAATTAGACTGAATTAGAACCTGGGTCTCCTGTGTGTCTGTTAAGCTAAAGGCTAGGACCAAGTCTCAGACAAGGTTACTACTCATGTGAGTATGATTTAATGAACCATCTCTGTTACACAGATGATGGACTTGGGAAGGCTAGATAATGTCTGCCACCACTTTATCCTGCTGTCGGTCATTATCACCCCTCGCTCCATTGAATAGAAACTAAGTTTTTAGTTATATGTTTGCATCACGCCCTTTATTTTCTGAACAGATTGGTTTTGTCTTGTCAATGTGTACAGGTGTCCAAGCTGGTCAGATGACGAGAAGATTGCAGTCAGGAGTGTTAACAATGAACTTCACTTTTTTGAGAACAATGACTTTAGTAAGTATCTTCATTGCCCCTTTTATTTATTGAAAGTTTATTCAACCAGGAATTCCCGTTGAGGTCAAGAGATCTCCTTAACAATGGAGAACTAGCCATGATGGCAGCTCCATACTGATGTGACATATGGAACCAATCATTTATTGAGAGAACTAGGTAGCGCTTGTGCACTTTCTATTGTAAAAGTACCAATATTTGTATTAGTTCATCGTCTCTTTTTCCAGTCACCATTGCCAATAAGCTGCACTTGCAGAAGGTGTCCGAGTTTATGCTGTCCCCTGGAAGTCAGCCTAGTAAGGTATACCTTTTGTTTGATCTTGTTTCCTGCAGATAGACTTAACAATTCATGTATCTGTTTGGTTAGCTGACTGTAGAAGAGGGTATTGACATTTGCCACTGTGTTTCTGCTGAAGGTGGCTGTTTATGTCCCTGGGAGCAAAGGTGCCCCCTCGTTTGTCCGGCTATACCAGTACCCCAACTTTGGTGGCCCGACCTGTGCTCTGGCCAACAAGAGTTTCTTTAAGGCCGACAGGGTGACCATGCTGTGGAACAAAAAAGGTTGGTCAACGTTTATAATAGAATTATGTTAAGTAAATGTTATGGAGAATGTGTGGTTTGCGTTATCCTAATAGAGTTTGTAGTTGTAGAAGATTACTGCCATGACTGCTTTTGTTTTTTTCCCATCAGCCACTGCGGTTCTGGTGCAGGCCAGCATAGAGGTGGATAAAACAGGGGCCTCATACTACGGAGAACAGACTTTACACTAATTGGCCACCAATGGGGAGACTTCTGCGGTGCAGCTACGTGAGTCTAGATTTGTATATAGTGTGTTTTTACTCCACCGTTATTTGTATGTCTGAAGGCAAAGATATGTAAAATACCAGGGGAACGACACTGGGGCGATGGTCATTCGGTATGTTTTTAGCTGTTACACTGGACGTGTAGCTTTTGCCGGCGTGAGCGCGAGCCACATTATTAAGTGTTCTCTGGCTTGAGCAGCGCGTCATTCTTAAAAAATAGAACCAGTGCGCAATTGTACGCTGAGCACCTCGAGCCTCTGACCGAGCCGCGATGCTTATGCCCAGGTTTAATTTGAATGAATTTAGCTGATGCTCTGTGGTTCATAAACGTGTGGTATCTATCTGTGTTGTGAACAGAGAAGAACGGGCCCATCTACGACGTGGCATGGAGCCCCAGCTCCACCGAGTTCTGCGTGGTCTATGGCTTCATGCCCGCTAAGGCTACTGTCTACAACCTCAAGTGCGACCCCGTCTTCGACTTCGGCACGGGCCCCCGCAACGCCATCTACTACAGCCCCCAGGGCCACATCCTGGTCTTGGCCGGCTTCGGGAACCTGCGGGGCCAGATGGAGGTGTGGGATGTCAAGAAGTGGAAGCAGGTGTCCAAGCCCCAGGCTCCCGACTCCACCCACTTCGCCTGGTGCCCGGACGGTGAACACATCGTCACATCGACCTGTGCCCCCCGGCTACGTGTCAGCAACGGCTACAAGATCTGGCACTACACCGGCACGGTTCTGTACAAGCAGGACACGCCAACGGGCACAGAGCTCTGGGAGACTGTGTGGCAGCCCTTCCCAGACGGGACGTTCCCTGAGAGGCCGGTAAAGTACCAGGCAGCACCCAGCGAGCTGGGCAGCACAGAGGCCAAGCCGGCCCAGGCCTACCGCCCACCTGCCCTGCGGAATAAACCGGTCACAGCCAGCTCCAAACTGGTGAGTAGAGGGCCAGGGGTCAGGTTAGGGTTGTTTTCAGTAGGCATTCAATTGTAAAACAAAAATGAGCATATAAAGGGATAGTTCCCCACATTCAAATTAGGATTTTTCGTGTTTCATGTCCAAATCATCTTTAAGTAACTTTGAGCTACACAATCAATTTTAGACACTTTGGAATGATTTGGACATAAAACACATTGGTGCTAATATTAGTGATACCAAGCATTGGTTTTGTGCCGTAAATGCTAAAAAGTTAGCATTTGAAGACAGTGGCCAGGTAAACAAAACCAAAGCATAGATTGCTGTCAGACCTTGTCCATAGACTGCTTACAGGGTAAAAGGAAACCAATATGTAATTTTGTAATTTGGGTGAACTATCCTTTTAACCCCCTAAGGTCGATGTCCGCGTGAAAATCTAATTAGCGTAATAAAATAAAAACATACAGATCTGTCAGTTTAAGCTAGAGATATCTGTTTTTTTGCATTGGATGTGTCTCAATCCACCACATCCGCCGATGTCACACTTCCGCATCTGCGGTGACAGAGCTAGAGCGGTGTTTGTCAGACCATGAGACATCCCGAAAAATCTGTCTTCTCACAAAATTGTCTGTAGCGTCCGAACGGTTTGGCCTAAAAACAATTATGACCCCTCTATGGAAAGATGAGACTCTCACGAACACGATGGTGCCGTTGCTTTAGGACCTCCACAAGTTTCAGGAGACTCGCCTGAAGTGTGTACATCCGATCTGTTAACTTCTGTCTGTCTAGGACGCCCACAGGCCTCACAAGACCCGGCTGAAGGTCCCCCGGTACTGGTTGAAAAAAATAATGGAAGTATATATGGAGACTGTTTTAATGCCAAAAATATGGGGTTAAAAACATGTAAAAAAAAACAAATATTTCCTGATCTTTCTTATATGTCACAGATATAAGAGAGACACGTCAGAACCATCTTCCTTTTGATATTTATTTGGGCCTATCTGTTGTTCCGTGTGTTTGTATGGGCTAGTAGCAGTAAGGCCCAACATTTTTTTTCATCAAATATTTTGTATATATATTTTTGGGGGTCTTAAAATTCAAAATCAAATAGCTAAATTATCCCTGGTACGACCATCTTAAAACAATTCCAAATAGCTTAGTAGAACACCCCCACCCCCTCCCCTGGCTTAGACAGGGCTTAGACTCTGATGGGTTAAAGGGTCAAATACAGTTGTATTGTATTGAATCCACCCCAGAGGAGGAAGACCTATGATGAAAAATATCCATAAATATCCACCCTTTTCTCTGTCAGCATGAAGAGGAGCCTCCACAGAACATGAGGCCTGGCGCCACCGGGGACAAGCAGCTGTCCAAGACGGCTCTGAAGAACCAGAAAAAACGAGAGGCAAAGAAAGCAGCCAAACAGGTACATTATCTTCTCCTAATGTGCGGTAATGTATGACAGAAGTGGAGAATAGCTCAGAGCTACTGCTCTTGTCTAAGTTATCAGATGGGGGGAGTGGGAGGTAGCGAGGTAACCGATCTCAAGTTATGTGGGTATTATTTTTGTGACGTCTAAAACCTTCTAGGGTTGATAAAGTTGTGTTTCCTGCTTGTGTAGGAGATAAACCCAGATGCCCTTGAGCCTCAGTCAGACCCATCTCCAGCCAGCAGTGCTCAGCCTGAACCCTCCTGTGGCGACCCAGAGACTGACAAGAAGATCAAGAACGTAAAGAAGGTGACAAAACACGTTCACTGTTTATTAGTCAGTAGTTACTGGATCAGTTGGTGGCTGAAGTATCTGTAGTAAGCTGTTTGTTTCTTACAAATGTACCTTACAGTAATTTTCCAGATTCTATATACACGTCTGTGGGGGAGCGAGTTTGACTTCTTACTGTAATTGACCTTTTCATTTTCACTGCTATGAAAAGGCTTTATCACAAGCATACTGTAGACAAATAAGTCTTCAGGAAGTTCCACTTCCACTAGCTGTACGTTAATTCTGTTCATTTCAAACTGACCCCTAGAAACTGAAAGCTATCGACGAGCTGAAAGCGCTGCAAGCAACTGGGAAACCCATTCAAAAGAACCAGGTATTATTCCGACAAACTACTGTCACGCACACGGTCAATATATATCCACAGTTTATACATTTGTGTATTCGACTTGTAAATATCATAGAATTGTGTTAAAATACGTATAATATTTTTCTCCCTTGTCGTTTATCTCTTTCAGCTTGAAAAGATGGAAAAGGAGGCTCAACTCATGAAAGAGCTTGAGGATCTTCAACTAGGAGTGTAAAAGAAAATACTGAATTTGCCCATGAATAAAACACAAAACATCCTTACCATATGATCAAGAGCACTCCCAAAGCTATATTTAATGGACACGTTCAGATCTCATACAATTTTTACTAGTGGAGACACGTTGCAGTTGAAGGCTTCTCACATTTTAACGTACATTTGAGCCTTAAAAACTTAAGCATCAAGGCACTATTGCTATGCAATGTATGTACAGGTTATTAAAGCCAGTGATGATACATAATATTTAGAATTGGTGTATATAGTAAGTAGGTGAAGGTTTCAACAGCTAGAAGTTATGTTGGTTTTTACTTTAAGTTGAATGAACAACTTTCAGTTCATTGAGATTATAAAATAAGAAAATTGAATAAAAAAATGTATGCCGCCAAAACAGTTATTCTTCTTCATGGTTCCAAGAAAAGGTTGCTAATTTCATAAATCATCAAAATATATATATAATAATTGAGAATAGTTTGTGTGATAACCCAATTATATCAATAATAGTGACATCATTGGACAAGAGCATTGCCAATCACGGTTCTTGCCATTGGCAACCACACTACACACCAGTGATATTGTTCCCACCCAAAAGGTAAACTGAGGAAAAATAAACATTAGCTAGGGAGAAAACGTGTTTGTGGTCTCAAGGGTTGGTGGAGAAATGAAATAGAATCCATCGTTCTATATAGTGGTAGGCGGTTTAGCAACAGCTGTGCTGGACTGTGGTCGACATGGATGATAGATCTAATGGTGTGGGTGGGGCTGATGAAAGTCATGGACCTGGATGGTCTGTGGTGAAAAGGAAAAATAATGGCCCTGCTAGAAGCGCTGCTGACAGCAGTGGCACTTCTAGAGGGTGAAGGTAGTGAAAAACAAAAGTAATGTGTCTGAGTGGAAAGTTGTAATCGTGTTTGATGCGACCACAGGGTCTCATCTACTGTACACCCTATTTGATTAACCGATGGTGTTAAGAAAGGTGAAGTCACATTAGCCCGGTTCAGTGGTAATAGTAGACTGTTAATATTCTGTGCTGAGCATGTTCAGCAAGGGAAGATTCTGAAAATGAATACTCTCAATGGGAAGAAAATCACAAATCATGTCCCTGGAGCTTCGGCTAAGCTGAGGGGGGTCATTTCTGGGGTTCCACTATCTATGTCCATAGATGACATAAAATAGAATGTAGAGGGGGGCATAGTGGTTGAAGCCAAAAGGCTGTTCAGTAAGAAAGAGGAGCAGGGAAGTGAATGCCTTTCAGTACTATTAATGTTTGAGAAGGTTTTGCCTAAGAACAGATGTTTCCTGGCTTTCACTGTTAGAGAGTTTGTCCCACCTCCATTAAGGTGTTTTAAATGCCAAAGAAAGATGCTAGAGAGGCCCAACGATATAAAATCACTCATAATGTTTCTCATGCAGAGGCTACAGATTGGTGGAACTATTAGGCAGAATGATGGAGTTAATAGGGTTACTCCTGGAATAAGTGGACCTACAGTAGGAAATGTTGCTTATGCTAGTCCTGACACGGTTACGAGACCCGTTCAGAAATCATGCTCTCACAAATGTGTTGTGTCAAAGGACACCTTAATAGTTAATCAGATTGAATTTATAGCCTTCATTGGAAAGGTTATCAACCTGACTGCGTTTGTGGAAAGAATAACTGGCAAGTTTGTGGAAACAGCAGCAGTTTTTAGGAGTAACAGATGTTACTGTCGCCATGATTGTTGATATGTTGACTCCTAATAATACTAATGATGGAATGTCTCAGTATGATGATAATTAGAGTTATGTTTTTTGTTATCCTTCAGTGGAATGCCAGAAGCCTTATTGCTAACGGTCAGGTGTTTAAGAAATATATGTAATTGATTTAGAGATCAAACCTAATGTGATATGTCTTCAAGAAATGTGGCTTATTCCACATCTTGATTTTTATTATTCCTGGTTATTGTTCAATCAGATCTGATAGATCAGTTGGACAGGGTGGTGGTTGTGCTACGTTTATAAGGGAAGGTCTTGTATATCGTAATATACCTGTCCCATCTGAATATGAATGTGTGATGGTGGAAATCTACAGTGCAGGTAGTAATATTAAGTAACAACATTTTTACAACCCTTGTCGTCAACTGTCTCGAGAGATATGGTGCGGCAACTTCATGGAAAGACTTGGTATTGGTGGGAGATTATATAACTGGGTTTTGGCCTTATTTAAATCACACTTTTCGAGTTAAAATAGGATCAATTTTATCTGATGCCTATGGAGTTGACAATGGTATTCCTCAAGGCAGTGCTATCAGTCCTATTTTGTTCAACATTATGATTAATGATGTGTTTTCGAATGTAGGTAGGGGTATTTGGGCTTCCCTATATACTGATAATGGAGCTATTTGGAAGAGAGGAATGAATGTCTCATGTGACCAAATCTATTCAACATGCTATAGTGGATGTTGAAAGATGGTTGATTGACTGGCGTTTTAAATTGTCAGTAGCGAAGTCCTGCTGTATGTTCTTCTCGAAAAAGAAAGTTGCTGATAATATACAGTTGTTTCTGTATGGACAGCCTATGGGGAGGGTTTCTAAGTACAAATATTTGGGTCTATGGTTCAATGAGTGATATACATGGAAAGATAATGTCATAAATGTTTAAAAGTGTAAAGAAGGTGGTGAATCTTATGTGCTTGGTCTCAGGTTATGAATGGGGTGCTGACAGACAATTGTTAATGGATATTTATAGAGCTCTGATCAGGACGGCCATTGATTACGGGTGTATAGTTTATAGAACGGTGGCGAAGACATGGCTTCAGAGGCTGGACAGAATCCAGTATATAGCTTTAAGGATATGTGTGGTGCATTTAAATCAACATCTGTACGTGCCTTACTAGTGGAGGCAGGTGAGATGCCTTTGGATATACGGCGTAAAAAATGGTCATTACCTTATTGGGTTAGGCTGAAAGGCTGTGATGATAGGGGATGTTCCTCCATGGTTACTCCCAGATCCTATTGTTGATCTAACCTTGGTAGAGAAAAGGAAAGATAGGTCAGAAGTCAGTGATATAGGGAAACTGGTTGATAATTACATTGGTTGAAGTTTTTATGCATTTTTACCGCTTTTCACAGATGGATCCAAGGACCCAGATAGTTGGCGCACAGGAGCAGGCGTTTACGTTCCTGAATTTGATGTGCAGATATGTAGAAGACTAACAGATTAACTGTCAGTTGAACTGTTGGCGATAATAGTTGCCATCCAGTGGGTGGAGGACGTACAACCTGTCAGAATTATGGTATGCTCAGATTCCCTGTCTGTATTGAATTGTTTATCATTTGGCAAATCTAATAGGAGTGACCTACTGTTAGAGGTATTAATGTTATTATGGAGAATTGAGAGACTGGGTGTAGTAGTGAGATTCTGCTGGGTCCCAGAACATTCGGGTGTGGAAGGGAATGAAATTGTAAACCAATTAGCCAAAAGAGCTTTAAAACTATATATAATTTATACTAGTGTTCCAATGGGTAGAGGCCAAATGTAAGATCAGAGCCATTTTGATAGATGTGTGGCAGAAGCGATGGGTAATTGAGGTTGGGGGCTTTGGAAGGGATTTGGGGGATGGGGTTTATTAGAAGTTAGTAGGGCTCTTTTGTATTTTCTCAGAAGTACTGAGTTCGGTAGGAGGATTTAGAAATGTGGAGCTAATGTTGTAAACCGTGATTGACCACACACTCCAGCACAGTAGGCGGCGGCATGCACCTTTTAACGTTTGTTTGCGGACCGCAATTATATAATAGAAGAAGAAGATTGCTCCCCACAAGGAAGTGCTGGAGCTCACCCGCACTGTCACTGCACATCAGGTACGCTCAATATGTTTGATTCTCGTGTCGTTTCCCACGATATTACTGTTCCAAATAGCTGCTTCAACCCAAGGAATCATTAAATGATTGTGCTTTTCAGCATGTGTCAATACGTATTATGATCACAACTCATGTGGACACCACCCCGGTGTATGCGATAGTTTAAGTGCGTGAACATTTAATTCAAAATCGACCTCAAAAGTACCACACGGTTGGGTATGCCACAGTCAGATGGATTCGCCGGAGCCAAAGACAACGAAAACGGTGTCCAGAGAGGACGTGAGTAAAGAAAGCATGGCGAACAGCCGCCAGGTCATCGGAATACATTTCTGTGGGTCCACGCCTCTGATGTGGCGTGCGGACGAGTTGAAATCGGCCCGTGAACTGGGCATCATAGGGACCATGGTGGGGTCTCTGGCCCGACAACCTAGGCAGAACACCCGGATGGGGAGACCCCTTGAGCTGCTTCCGGAGGAGGGACGACTGCTGGCGGACATGGGGAGAGCTGCAGTTATTCCTGACTCAACAGTAAATTATGTTTCACTTGTTCAGTACTTTCACGTGTAGTGGTGATGCTATAATAACTAATTGGCAGCAAATACTTTGACATTACAATTTTTACTGTATAAATAAAGCAATTGGCGGTTGGGATAGTAAAAGACAGATCTAGCCACTTAGTGAGCATAGTACAGCCTCTGTCAAAGTGTTTAGACATTTATGGCACAGGTGGTAGTGTCTAGCCATGTAACTGGGTTGTGGGTTCAAGCCCTAATATGGCGTTTCCCCCTCAAGCCCTACACATTCACAGTTTGGTTCATTGATCCTTACAGAATGAGGATCCCGAGGTGAACCCAGAGCAAGTGGAGCAGTACCATGCAGGACTGGAGAACAGCTTTCAGGAACAGGGTGCCTTGGCCTTGGAGGACAGGAAGACGACATTACGGAGAGTTATGACTGAGAAACATAACGGTGAGGGGGCCCCATCACTCACATACAGGTATTTGTGCGAGACATGGCCATTCGCACGAGTGAATCAAGTGTCCTGGCTCTGACGGCACTATGTTTTCTCTTAGAGGGTTCTGGAAGGCAGGAGGACTCGGACGGTGCGGTTCGAGACCGTCTCGAAGCTCTGGACCACGGCTTCTCATTCCCTCGCACGGCCATGGCGGTACAACTGTGCACAGCCCGAGCAGGACTGTCTCACTGTCCCGAGGTGCACCGTTTCCTGGCCGCAGACTGGCCCATACCACCGGACGAGAGGTCCGAGACCCGGTTCCGAGTGTTCAGGGACCTGAGACGCCAGGGCTTCTACCTCACCTCGGCCGGGAAGTTTGGGGGAGACTTCCTGGTGTACCCAGGTGAGCTCCGTACTTCAATCACATTAATTTATGGTTATTTGATACAATTTGATTGAGCTCAGCTCAGTGCATGATTCCAGTAGTTTGAAAGTGTCTTTTCTTTTCGATCTTGCCGACTTTCATTCTCTACAAAACAGAACCTATGGTCATGTGTCAGTCTTTCTGTTCATCTCTGCTGTATCCCCTTTCTCACAGGTGACCCCCTCCGTTTCCACGCCCACTTCATTGCCGTGTGTGTCTCCATGGACGAGTCGATGCCCCTGTGTGACGTTCTGGCCATCGCCAGGCTAGGGTCCAATGTGAAGAAGACAGTCCTGCTGTGTTCGTCAGGGGAAAGCCAGGAAGATGACGGGGGGGAGGTGGTGTATACGTCACTACAGTGGAGTGGAATGGTGTAGCACCACAGTGGGAGACTATAGGTGGAAGCAATATGGCGACATCTCTCATCTAGCCAGAGGCTACACGTCACTACAGTGGAGTGGAATGTTGTAGGCAGCACCACAGTGGGACACTATATATGCCGATATTTTTCACCTAGCCAAAAGTTATTTTATAATACTTATATTTTTCAAATTCATTCAGCACAGGAGTGCCAATGGTGTAGAGTCTAGGGGTTCATTTGTAATTTCAGTCACTAAACAGGAGTGGGATGGTTACAGACAGCAGGGGTGTATTCATTAGGAAGCAAACGGCGCGGGATTTATCTACATTTGTCCAATAAGAAACTTGTTTTTCCACTGCAAAACATTTTGTTAGTGTCCACTAATGAATACACCCCTGGTGCGTTGCGCTCCAGTCCAATGGGATGGCTACTATTATTGTATGACAATCAGCAGCGGTACGGGGGGGCTTCCTTGGAAAAATATTTACTTTGAAGTGTGTGTGGATTGTAATGTGAGAATTGTTGAAAATATAGTTGAAGACCATTAACTTTTGTGTAACCAGTGTTTGAGTGCCAATATGTAGAGAGAGTTGCCACCACAGAAGAAAAGGAAAACACTGAAAACGTTTTGGAAAATAAAAATGAGTGTTTCATATGGAACACTCCAGGTAGTCCCTCCCAGTTTCAGTCCGGTTTTCTTCTGTTTGGTGCTTAATGAACACAACCCAGGACTGCCCCACATAAAGCTGTCAGCTTCTTGGAGAATGGTCAACGGTGTGAAAAAGCATGTATATTTACTGTAAATAACACCAAATAGATATGACAAAACATCCACATTAGAACAATACATGTTCCCTGTAATGTGGTCAGATGGGGACCGGTGCACCCAATTCAACCAGAAATGCTGTCCACATTTTGTTGTTAGCCTGAATTTTTTTCACCCATCTACCCACAATATCCCATAATGACAAAGTGAAAATATGTTTATTGAAAATTAAATGCAGAAATATCTTCACCCAAGTATTCACACCCGAGTCAATACATGTTTGAATAACTTTTGGCAGTGATTACAGCTATGAGTCTTTATGGGTAAGTCTAACAACTTTGCACACCTGGATTGTACAATATTTGTAACTAGGCCACTCAGGAACATTACATGTCGTCTTGGTAAGCAAATCCAGTGTAAATGGCCTTGTGTTTGACGTTATTGTCCTGCTGAAAGGTGAATTTGTCTCCCAGTGTCTGTTGGAAAGTAGACTGAACCAGGTTTTCCTCTAGGATTTAGCATGTGCTTGGCTCTATTCCATTTTATTTTATCCCAAAAAACTCCCTAGTCCTTGTCGATGACAAGCATAGCCATAACATGATGCAGCCACCAACATGCTTAAATATGAAGAGTGGTACTCAATGATGTGTTGGATTTGCCCCAAACATAACATCATTTACATAATTAGTTAGTATTGTGGAGTAACTACAATGTTGTTGATCCATCCTCAGTTTTCTGCTATCAGCCATTAAACTCTAACGCCAACCTTTTCTGAAGAAAAGTAATCTATACTGAACAAAAATATAAACGCAACAATTTCAACGATTTTACTGAGTTACAGTTCATATAAGGACATCAGTCAATTGAAATAAATAAATTAGGCCCTAATCTATGGATTTCACAGACTGGGCAGGGGTGCAGCCATAGGTGGGCCTGGGAGGGCATAGGTCCACACACTGGGGAGCCAGGCCCAGCCAATCAGAATATGTTTTCCCCCACAAAAAGCCTTTATTACAGACAGAAATACTCCTGTTTCATCAGCTGTCCGGGTGGCTGGTCTCAGACGATCCCGCAGGTGAAGAAGCTTGATGTGGTCCTGGGCTGGCATGGGTATACGTGGTCTGCGGTTATGAGGCCGGTTGGACGTACTTCCAAATTCTCTAAAACAACGTTGGAGGCGGCTTATGGTAGAGAAATGAACATTCAATTATCTGGCAACAGCTGTGGTGGACATTCCTGCAGTCAGCATGCCAATTGCACGCTTCCGCAAAACTTGAGACATCTGTGGCATTGTGTTGTGACAAAACACATTTTGGGGTGGCCTTTTATTGTCCCCAGCACAAGGTGCACCTGTGTAAGGATCATGCTGTTCAACCAGCTTCTTGATATGCCACACCTGTTAGGTGGATGGATTATCTTGACAAAGGAGAAATGCTCGCTAAAAGGGGTGTAAACAAATTTCTGCACAACATTTAAGAGAAATAAGCTTTTTGTGCGTGTGGAACATTTCTGGGATCTTTTATTTTAGCTCATGAAACATGGGACCAACACTTTACATGTTGCGTTTATATTTTTAGTTCAGTATAGATTCTTCAGCTCTTAGCAATTTTTGGCCAATATCCAACCTTCCAATCTTAAGCAAAATTCGGGAGAAATTGGTTTTCAAACAGCTAAATGATGGCACAAATGTATTTTTGAATAATTCCAATCTGGTTTTCGAGCCCAGTACAGAGACAGCCTTAGTTAAAGTGGTAAATGATGAGCTCGCTGTCCTTGTACTCTTGGATTTAAGTGCTGCATTCGACACTGTTGACCATGATGTCCTTCTGGACAGACTGGAGAGGTGAGTTGGCCTCTCCGGTCCAGTTCTGAATTGGTTTAGGACCTATTTAACCGATCAAGAGTTTTTTTTGTCACTCTTGGTGAACATAACTCAGAGGAAATAAATATCACATGGCGTTTCACAAGGTTCGATTTTGGGTAAAGTACTGTTTAAATACTTGGATGGCTCACAACTTCCTCCAGCTAAATCAAGACCGAGCTACTTATTGTTGTAGTCAAAGCACAGAGAGAGAATCTGGCCGCTCATTTTAATTCACAGGCAATAAAGATTCAACACCAGGTAAAACACCTAGGTGTTATTTTAGATTCTGAACTCAATTTCAAATCACTCATTAGGAATGTGACCAAAATAGCTTTTTACCACCTGAGGAACATTGCCAAGGTGCGGCCGTTTCTCTCTCAGGCTGATAGAGAGACTCATGCTCTCCTGTCTGGTCTACCCAAGAAAGCCATTGGTCAACTGCAAAACATACAGAATGCTGCAGCACGGGTACTGACCAAGACCAGACAGAGAGCAGACATTACACTGGTTTTAAGGTCTCTGCATTGGCTGCCTGCGAGTTTTATAATTAATTTTAACGTGCGCTAATTTCACAGGGGATATGCCCCCCCCCCCCCCCCCCCCCACACATTCTGAAGTTGCATTTTTGTCCCCCTAGTTTTATCATTGGAATGTGATACAAAACAAGGCAACGGTGTGCTGTAGGACCATGCGGATGCGATGCCTCCAAGCGGTCGGGTAGGCTGTTTGGAGTGTTTAATAATAATAATGTCCACCCCCCCCTCCACTTCTAAAACCAAAGTCGCGCCCCTGAATTTTAAGATTATTCTATTGGTTTATAAATCAATCCATGATTGTGCACCCCAATACATGTCAGACATGCTTTTAAGTTATGTACCCAGTAGGTCCCTCAGGTCCTCTGGCACTGGCCTTTTAACTATCCCAAAGCCTAGGACCAAGAGGCATGGAGAGGCAGCCTTTAATTACTATACCCCCAGCCTCTGGAATAGCCTGCCAGAGAACCTGAGGGGGGCTGAAACTGTGGACATTTTTAAAAGAGCTCTTAAAACACACATTTTTAGCTTTTCCTCAGGGTGCATATAGTCTTTCAGTTACATTTACATTTTAGTCATTTAGCAGACGCTCTTATCCAGAGCGACTTACAGGAGCAATTAGGGTTAAGTGCCTTGCTCAAGGGCACGTCGACAGATTTTTCACCTAGTCGGCTCGGGGATTAGAACCAGCGACCTTTCGGTTACTGGCACAACGCTCTTAACCACCAAGCTACCTGCCGCGAAAGTCGAGTCATGCGTCCTCCGAAACATGACCCGCCAAACTGCGCTTCTTAACACCCGCCCGCTTAACCCGGAAGCCAGTTTTTATTGTTATTCTTTAGTTTTTTATGTTTGTTGTGTAGTAACTATTTCAGTTTTCATTTTCATTGGTTTTATTTTCCTGTGAAGCACATTCTGTTGCATTTCATGTCTGAAATGTCTGTGCTGTATAAATAAACCTGATTTTGATTTGAAGATCACTTTTGCAGTCAAAAAGCAAGCCTAGATATACCGCTCAGAAAAAAAAAGAGGCTAAGGCACTGCATCGCAGTGCTTGAGGCGTCACTACAGACCAGGGTTTGATCCCAGGCTGTCACAACCATGTGGCGGGCCGGGCGCCTGCAGGCTGTCTTCGGTCGTCAGTTGAACTGTGTTTCCTCCCACACATTGGTGCAGCTGGCTTCCGGGTTAAGCGAGCGGGTGTTAAGAAGCGCAGTTTGGCGGGTCATGTTTCGGAGGACGCATGACTCGACTTTCGCCTCTCCAGAGCCCGTTGGGGAGTTGCAGCGATGAGACAAGATCGCAATTGGATATCACGAAATTGGGGAGAAAAAGTGGGTAAAATAAAAAAACAATATATAGAGATACACATTTTTTACATTAACCAAATAAAATCAGATCTGTAAGAATGAGGTTTGTGCAGTAGGCCTAATACATTATCATAGCATATTGGCTATATGCCTTACCTGCCAATATTGTTCTTCTCCGACCATATTATATTTCAAAACTTGAGCTTTGATAACAAAATAGATCATCAGTTGGTGTAGCACTTGCGAAGCATAGCTGAGCATAAATTTAAGTAATTTGCTTTTTCATTTTTTCTGGACTGATGGTATCTGCATCCGATTGTCATGCTGCTTTCAAGTGGTAAATCATGACGTCAGTGATCTTCAGGTCGGTGCTCAGACTGGGAAAAATCGTTTTCGACAGTCATGCAACTCGGGAACTCGGGCCTCTTTCTAGAGCTCCGATTTTTTGACCTGAAGATCACTGACGTTATGATTTGACCTCGTATTTTTCCAATTTCGCAGTTGTCTTGAACACACCAACAGTCTCCGAGGAGGGAGGGAGAG